ATCATGACGTTGCTTATTGGTCTAGTTGTGAGGACTTTTGTTTTCTTTATGTTGAGGTATAATCCATATGAAAGGCTGTGGTCTTTGATTTTCATCTGTAAGTACTTCAAGTCTTCTTTGCTTTCAGGAACCAAGATCATGTCATCTGTATATTGCAGGTTGTTATTGTGTTTGACTACAAACCTGGTGTTGCAGTCCTCCTTTTAAATTGCTGTTTTGATTTAGTTTTATGAGGAGGAGCAGATACGTGTATGTGATCCATTTGTCATGTTTATATTAAAGTTATTCCTCTTCCTTTGAAGTCCTGAATAACTTAATTTTAGGACTGTACTTGCAATGACAAATTAAATATGTAAAATTAAAATGGATTAAGTTGAGTACAGTTTTGATTGAAATACTGGTGTGTTCTGATTTCCACATCCATAGTGTGTTTTGTAATAATGAATTCTTTGACTTTATTTCTGTAGAAGAAATTGAGGAAGAATCTGAAACAACAATTGAGCCTGACTTGACTGATAAACAGAAACATCAGTTGAAACACAGGGAACTCTTTCTGTCACGCCAGTATGAGTCTCTGCCTGCAACACATATCAGGTAAGAATGTTTATAAATTAAAGTACTCAGCTATATTGTGATCATTAAATAAACAAAATAGCAACAACATTCTTTGAAGTGTTTTCCAAATTACCCTGAGGATGTTGCTCAAATTAATTTACTAAAGACTTCATAATGGAATTTCATCTTAGAAATCCGTATGTTGTGTGTATTAGGACTTAAAAGTTCTGCACTAGAGCAATCATTTTCACTTTGTTTTAATCCCAACATTCCCAACTTTTTGAATATCTGTTAACTGCAGAATAATGTCCAGTAGATAACCTTTTGGTAAATGCTAGTGTTCCCTAGATTCCTAGAAAATCGTAGAGTCATTACAACCCAAGAGCTAAAATCCACGATCTAGTTCCCAGGCAGTTAACTCTTGACATTGTGGGCCATTCCAAAATTTATTCTTTAGTAATTATTCAGTTGTATCTGCTCTGTGCATTGATGGGGATATAAAAGTGAAAGTATCCTATCCCTAGTTTATAGTTTTGACTGTTACAGAGGAATGGTGGTAGTCTGTGATTATGGTCTACTGGTGGTGACAAAAATCTAAGCATAAATAAAGTTGAATTGTTCTTCAATACATTCTTTAATAGGTGTTTCTCAGAAATATAACAAAATTTTTATCTATTTATTTATTATTTATTGTGATTTGGGTGAAGATTTACAGAGCAAATTCACTTTCCATACAGCAGTTCACATATA